GGTGGGGGTGGGTCTCGCAACTCACAATTAGACCCAGCTTCTGGACGTATGGCTGTTTTATACTTTTGAGAGTCACTAAACATTCTTGAAATGGAAGCTTCGGATGACCTAAGCATTCGGCTTAGTGGGGGCACCCAATAGTACTTGTACTAGCCATGCTTATGCAGGTCACATTGTGAAGACCTGTAAACTCCTGTAAAAAAGTGGCCTAGTCGTTCCATTTCACAGTTGACAAGTCTGACCGTTAGTTAAGTTGGTTAGTTAGTCATGAACCAGCAAAACGAACTGACAAAAGTGGAAAATGCCTCCTTTCTCACCCTCTATCGAGTTGAACAGCGCCGATTGTCACGAAGTCAATGGCTGTTGAAGCCCACACAGGTCAGCGATTGGGCGAACCAGTGAACTGCGAACCGTGAGTGAGTACCAGTGAACTGCTCTCATGTCCAAAGTGGCAGATCACGGTAGGTTGCTTTTGTCGTGGGCTTTCCAGACTCCGGCGAAGGTGACTGAGTTGAAGGGTAGGCCGAATAAGAAGTTGTTGAAGTCCCCGCTGGGGATCCGTGATGTTTCGTGAGGTGCCTTCGTATGTGGCTATTTTTCTGTCTTAAGGTAGCGGCCTTGTTGACCAATATCAGCTCTTCTCTTGCGCTATGTACAGCACTGACCGAAGCGGAGTGTGATCCGTGGACGAAGAACGATTTTCTGCTGAAATATGAGCAGGTAACAAAATTACATAAGTTTCTCTCAAGTGTTTAAATCGTTCACCGTTTTTTTTTCTCAAGGCTTTGCGTACCCTTGAACCGCAGCTCAATGATCATATGGTCGAATCCGTCCCGCCATCGATGCTTATTTCACAAATTACGTCTGATGCAAATGTTACCGCTTTGGACAGGTTATCAGATTACGGTAAGTGTTTAGTGTTCTAGAAGATTTCCGGAACTCTTTTCCTGCATAGTTTCCAGTGCTCGAAAAATGAGTGAATTCCTGGTGAAAGCACTAGTATCGGGAACGTTTCCTCAGTTTTTGCTTTTAATGAGCATTTCTGATCTTCTCGTAAAGGAGTAGCGATTTTCATGTGCTTCCCATAGATGGGAAGCAGGACAACGAGAAAATGCCGAATAGATTGATTTTCCGATCTCGGCTTCCACCCTCCCCCTCCCCTTTTTTTCCCCAACCATAGCGAAAACAGCTAATGTGAGTGGTTCCTGACTGAAATGAAGTTCCCATCAAAGGCACATGCCCGCTAGTCCGCGCTGGTGGT